CGAAGAAACCCCTATGAAGAAAGTGGGAGAAACCACGGTCCCAAAGACCGAATACGAATTTGATGCCGACATCAAGAAGATTGAAAACTATGCAAAGGCTATCAAATGCTATATTGCGCGGTCAACCCCGATGACTACCAAAAGATCTCCTGTTGCACAACCGCCAAGGAGATGTGGGACAAGCTTGAAGTGACGTACGAAGGTACCGATCAAGTTCGCGAAGCCAAGATCGACTTTCTCACCCAAGAGTACAAAATGTTCCGGATGAAAGAAGGTGAGAAAATCGATGACATGTTTGACCAGTTCTCAAAGATCATCAACGATCTTCATGCCCTCAAAAAGACCTACACCAACAAGGATCTTGTGAGGAAAATCCTGGGGAGTCTCACACCCGAATGGAGGTCAAAAGCCGATGCAATCTACGAATCCATCGGAGTCTCCAACGTCACCATCGACGGGCTAAGAGGTAATCTTAAAACCTATGAATCTACTATTCTAACCCCGTCTTTGGATGAGCAAAAGAAAAAGGGGATAGCTCTCAAAGCCACCAAGGAGCCGGTGGAAGAGGCTTCAAGCGATGACGACAATGAATTCGGGCTCGTCATCAAGAAGTTCCACAAGTTCATGAAGAAGGAATTTGAGCGGAAGGGAAGAAAGCACGACGGTCCTCCCAAGTGCTACGGCTGTGGCGAGATTGGCCACATCAAGCCAAGGTGTCCAAAGGCCAAACACGGCAAGGACAAGTCTGGCTTCAAGAAGCAAAGGGCCTACATCTCTTGGGGTGGCGATTCCGGCGATGAATCAACCGACCAAGAGGAGGACGAAGCTGCAAATCTCTGCCTCATGGCACACGAAGATCAAAGCGACGACGTCCAAGAGGTATGTAACATTTCTTCCGACTCTTATACTTTTGAAGAAATGCAAGAAGCACTTCATGAACTGTATGAGGAATTTGTTAGCGCTTCTAAAACAAATAAATCTTTGAAGAAACGACATTCTTTACTTGAAAACGATTTTGAATAATTGGAAAAAGAAAATGAAACACTTAAACAAGAAAACAAATTTTTTGGAAAAAGAAGCGCTGACAAACCAGAAAGCTCATCAAGTGAATGTGGGTCTTGCAAAGCTTTAAAAGAGCAAGTCGCTAAACTTGAGAGCACGGTCAAGAAATTTAATACTCCTCATAAAGACTTAAATTTACTTCTTGACACTATGCATTTTTCTAAGGAAGGAATAGGTTTTGATAAAAATAAAGCTAAAGATAATGTTGAGCCACCACCTAGACAATCATCTAAGGTTCAACATAAGAAACCTAAAAATCAAGATAATAGAAAACCTAGTCAACCTA